TAGAAAACGTAGATACTTTTACGTAGCAACTTTTCACAAGAAACTTAACATTCTTGTATTACAGGGTGAAAATTGAACACGTTCCTGTACCTGGAGACTAGACTACTAAGTATCTTCCATGCTCCTGAGAATTCAACAAGTTCACCCATCTAACATAATTCTACGATGAGGTAGCATTCTAGATAACAAACTATTTACATTGAAAGGCAGGTAGGTAGGTATCTTTTTTATGGCGTAAGCCGGTAAATGGGCATAGCTAATAGTAAGCATTCGGCGCCGCCCATGGTCACCAGAAACACCAGAGGCGTTACAAGTGCGTTACTGGCCTTTTGGGGATTAGGAATTTGAAGATTATTGAGGATTCGGGGATTGGGGAGATTGGGGAGGAGGGTAATTGGGTCTAAGGTAACCTCACTCACACGACGAAACATAACGCAAGCGTTGTTTCACATCAATTTTCTGTGAGGCCGTGGTATCACTCCGGTCGGGCCGGCGCAATCGTGCCGAAGATTGTCACTCCCACACTTAAATCTGGTACCTATTACCCACAGAAGCGTTTTCAAAGGTCTATTATCAAACATCAAACTATAGGTGTAGACATGATAAGAGATCATTAAAATTCGGAGCATACTTTAGCCTCCCATAAGTTATTCCTTGGTAATGGAAATTCGATGTCGCATCTCAATTTTCTAGGAGTATTTCATTGAAATAAACACTCTTGTACAATATTAACGAGTTCGACCTATTTAAAGCGAAATAGGTATTGAAAACATTAACGCTGTTACACAACCAATCGATAAGTACCGAAGTACCTACTTACTTACAGCTGAACGTTTTCAAGCAATTATTTCAGTATGGCAATATTGATACCTGAAAAACGTTTTTCAATCCTGTTATTTTTTATCAGAAAGGATAAGGCCTTTATTACACCCTCTTACCTAAGTATGAGACGGGATATCAGGGTAGTTTAGTCAGTACTAAAGCCTTGTTTTTACTAGCGCAGTGCGAACAAGGCTTAGTCAAACATAGTCTTTAAACTACACTAGACTAAAAAGTCGAGTAGCGAGTTTTTAATAGTTCTCCCTCTCTCGCTTTAGTCTCAAAACTTCGAAAGCTACTATATACTCGTCACTCGACTAAAATAGGTAGGTACAAGCGTAGTGCGAATATAGCATTAGAGTTTCGTCTTCCCCAGGCGACGGAATTCCATGAGCATTAAAAAATATAAGTTCAATATACCAAAGAAACCTAATGAATGATATGTTTGCACATTTTAATTAAGATAATTAGGTACATAGGTAAGTAAGTACTAATGACTTTATATAGATACCCTTTATTTTAAGGGGGGAAAATCATCGAAAGACTGCTCCCGCCTGGGTGAGCGGGAGGGAGTGTCAGACTCTTACTGACTAAAAACCACCCCGTTCCTTCTCCTGCACGTCGAGCCGGAGCCCCGGTTACCCGTTAGGTTCTCCGCGACATATAGATACCCTAGAATTATTGAACCCTATTTATTTTATCCATTGACCGTGACTATAATATGTAGATACCTGTATTGATACCTCACCGGAATAATTGAATTGTTGGTCACTTGATCAAGGACGACATATTTTTTACACAGACCGATACCAGACTATTACTTTTTAATCCCTAAAACCCTCGACATCCATCTTAGGAGGCTGGCGTTAGGTGGATGGATCAAGGGTCTGATACAGAAGGCAGTTCTCCTAGAAACGGCACGTATCGTGAGGAGGTTTCTGTCTCTGGAGCCCTAACCACCGGTAGCTTGGACCATGCTCCCGCTACTGGTCGGCTCCTGTTTTTTATATTTTTAAATATATATTTTTTTATTTTGTAAGTAGTATTTAAAAATGTAATTTATAAAGAACTAGCTTCTGCCCGCGACTTCGTACGCGCAATCCCGATATTTCCCGTTCCCGTTCTTGATTTTCGGTAAAAAGTAAAAAAAAAGAATTAGGTAAAAAGTATCCTATGTCCGTCTCCTGGTTCTAAGCTACCTCCCCACCAATTTTCATCCAAATCGATTTAGCCATTCTTGAGTTATAAATAGTGTAACTAACACGACTTTCTTTTAAATATATAGATTATAGATAAATATATGGAAATAATAATACGCTTTATTGTACACCAAGCGAGTAATTATAGTGCCAAGAAATTACAGAAAATAAGGAGGCTACAAGGGCGGCCTTATCGCTAAAAGCGATATCTACCAGGCAACCTTTGGGTGTATGGAGCATTGATTAATTTAAGATTTAAGAGGATTGATTTTTTAAGTATACAATAAACATATTATACTGCTTACCCACCCACCCACGTTCTGCATAACTCGTAAATTGAACTCAAACACTTCAATTCTCAAGAAAACTAACAAAAAGGCGGAAGGTATACAAAACAACTCCTTCACTGTGATATAGGGTAAATCCTTAGATAATATTCAGCCGACACACATCCCTTCGAGACTCGAGACAATTTCAATTTCACGCGCGAAAATCACAGGAACTCATAAATCCGTGAAGTTATAGATATTGATATACTGATATTATACCTACTCAGATAATGGGAGTTCCCGGCGTTCAACATGAGTAACTGTGATCTATAGAGTAGGTAGGTAAGTAGGTACTTATGATGATACACAGTTAAGTAAGTTGACATATATAAACGTGCTTATGAAGAAGAAAATTAAGTGAAGCATATACATAGGTACGTTGAGTATGAAAACTATTTTAAATATTTTTGTTACTTATAATTGAATATGCTACTAGGCAACCTAATAAACTGAGTAGGTAGATAGGTAGGTAAGTAATGATCGTATAATTTTTCATAAGATTTTATCTTTCAGACGGCTATCATCTGTTGAGGATTATTGTACTATAAGTAAGTTGTACTTACAACTAGTAGTAAGTTTACAAGTAGTAGTTACTTTTTTACTTCAAGTTTACTAGTACTTACAAGTAGTAAGTTTCTGATGAAGAAAGAATCGATCAAGTGCACCTAAGTATACGAAACTAGGAAACCTATAAGACCTGATTCCCCAGTCGATTGATTATCAACATCGTATACTGCTGAAAACGGGCTATTTCTTATAACACCTCACCTCCTACGTCTTGGTAGGTCAAACAAGCACTATTACCACACTGATTTATTACCAAGCACGAGGTCTCAGACTCAGCCGTAGTCGGATTGGGTTAGGTTGGTAAAGCCACAATAGGTTCGTCACATGGGACTCGTGTGAGATAACTGGCCAAAAGTTGGTTTAAATTTGGTATTTTTTTCACCTTTCTTGTGTCTAAGACGTGGATCCACGCGAGACACAATGTATTTTCTATTGTGTCTCATATCGGTGCGTTCAAAAGGTTAATACATATTATTGTGTGTAGGTACACACGGCTACACATCGCGCTTTACATAACCAGTATAAACTAAACGTTAAATGTGCGGGAAAATGATGCGACCGGACACCAAGATAAACTGGTTTTGTATACATTGATGTGTGGCCGTATGTACATGTGTATGGTGTACCTTAAAAAGTAAAAACTTACTCCAAGCTTCCCAGAATTTATTTTTTGAAATCTCGTTAAGTAGGTACTAAAAATGGCAATAACCCAGTTTTATATTGTCAGAGTGCTTTGGCATCTATCCAATTTCATGAATAAAACTTGATGGAGAGCCGTGCAACATGAAAATTACTTAAATAATATTTGATTCGTTGCCATGGCCTGTTTCTTTGTATTGCCATGACCTGCACCAACTGTTTTAGTGCAAGAATGCAACTTCTAGCTTCTTTTTTTCGTAAAGATATCAGGCTTTACATGTTGTATTATTTACCTAGCTCCTCTCCAAAGTTGTACAATTTCGCCACACTATTTTAGTTCCCATGGTGCAAACTATCCTAATTTTTTTTAGCATTTCGAAAACCTATCTTACGAACTTGCTACAATATGTTTTTAAGTTTACCTAGATAACTAATGACAATTAATAGAATTTTTTAACAGCAGAATATTTGATTTTTATATTTAAGTTCAAGCTAATGACCTAAACCTAACTTTCAAAGGTTCACTTCAATTCAAACAAACAAAAACGGTGTAATTTATATTTCATTCTGTAACTCTGAACCTAAAACAATAAGATAGATGTTATATAATATATCTTATTCGAGATTTCTACGTTTGCTATGCAAAGAAACAAATCAAATAGCTGTCTGGGTTTGAGTTCAAAGTTCTCATGCAAGAACATACAATAACTCACTGGGTACATCAGCATATTCTTTATATAATATATTTCATAAGTAGCTACAACATTTCTTACTGAAATCCTCGATATAAGTATTAAATAAAGACATTATTTAAAAGTAAAACTAATATACATAAGTAAGTGTTTAGATCGCCAATCCCGCTTGCAACACTAACACAACATGATAAATAAGTTTCAAAGAAATAAATGGTATAATAATTTCACTATTATAACTTCTAAAGATTTGTACATCTGTTACATAATAAGTGAACAACACAGATCTCATATTTAATTACAGTGATTAGTAAAATGTTTCCATAATATATGTTTCAGCAACTTCTAATACAATGTGGCATTTAAACTCTCAACTATTTACATAGATAGTGTCTATGACATGCAATATTCAACAACTTACGATAACAACAATTATATAGAGCCAAAAATATTCTACCACATAATATATCTAAGTAATTATACAAGTGTTACAACATATACAGATAGTAAAGTACATTGATAGTTAATATTAATAGTATTTATTGCAGATTTATATTGTGATCTGGCATCTAATAGTAAAGTATTAATAATATATTTTATCCTAATATGATAATGATATATTTTCTTTAACTCACTACAGAATGAATACAAGAGCTGTTATATGCCTACGTAATTAAGTAATTATTAAGTATTGTGCAACACACATGAGTGCCATCCTACAACAGACACCAAATCACAATAACATGTTAATGAGCTCAGAACTGCACCCAGTTCTGTTGGTTGGCAGGTGTTGTTGGCTGTTGTTGACTCGGAGCACTAGAAACAAAACAGTAATCAAATATGACATTATCATGTTTGCAAACACATCACACATCTGTTTGTTTGACATGGTAAATATGAAACAGTATATTTTGGGAATAAACTTTAATCATCATCAGCCATTTTCCGTTTTCTACTGGATATCAAATTGTATGCCATGTTGGAGAGATGAATGATTATATTAATTAGATAATATTCAAAATAGTATTTAAAATACTAGTCAAGTTCCTCCTCAAATAATTATGTGAGTAAGCCAATAACATTATAAATTATTTAGTATTTAAAATGGTTTTTTTTGGTTTTGTATTTACTAATATATCAGTCCTTAATACCTGGCTGAATTGAAGTCGCCCCATTCTGAATTAGCAGCAGCTGGAGCAGCAGCAGAAGGTGAAGGAGCATGTTGTGGCGAGGGTGGTGGTGGGAGCCGGGAGCCACCTGGAGGGGGAGGTAAAAGGCCTCCGCCACCCCCAGCACCGCCACCACGACGTGGCCTACTGCCTTCACTACCATCCTTTTTCTGCAAATGAATAAAATACATTGTAACAATGTGCAAATTATAGTTACATATTTTGTAATACAATACAAACAACAGTCCTTTTTCTAATTAGATGACTCACAATCATATTAGTGTTGACTGACTCAGTTGCCCTTCATTGTTCTAATATGATTTTGAGTACACAAATCCAATGTAGTACTTACATACATTCTGTAATTGCATTACTCTTGCTACTAAGTACTCACAGTGATCTTCATGTTTATTTTTATTGTTTCCCCTTCTTTAAAGCCCAAGTCAAGGTTTTGTTGAGGAGCCTGCTCTCCTTCTTGTTCTTTTCTCAACCATTTGAAATGGTCTTGTAGAGCAACATTCAAGTCAAATGAATCTGATCGATCTCCGAATCCTAGACCTATGTAGGCTGATCGACCTGAAATAGTATAGTAAACCTGTGTTAGAACTTAAAATCTTATACACTGCAGGTAAATAAACAAACATAATTGAATATTCTCTTGCCATTATCATCCTGAATCCGCACAACGAAGTAACGTGAACTATCAGTGACGGATTCGAGAGCCACCCCCGGATATTTGTCAATAGGACATTTAGCAAACAGCTCCCCAGAAGTTTTGTCTTCCAGCTTCATAATCAACTCTTCTGCTTTTGCAACCAGTCTCATACGCCCCGTCCATTGTGGTTCTTGTAAGTTCCAATCAGCTGCCCTAAAAACACCCACCGTTTTATCATTTTTCCCACAAAACAATTACCCACGATACAAAAAAAGTGTACACCTACCTATATCCTCTATTTGATGTTCTTGGTGGTATTTTAAATACAAACACTTCATTCTTAACGAGAAGAACACTTTCATAAGATTCCATTTTCACTGTAATTCAATTTCTCATGAAAAACAATATAAATTTTTGGAACAAGTATTTTGATAGCAAAATGACGTTAGTGACGTGACGTGACGTGCACAATAAAAAATTAAGAAAGCCTTCGGGCCAATCGAACGATGCAACGCAACCGCAACATCTCTATAAATTATTGCTTGCATTATTAAACTCTGAGATTGAACTTGATTGAATGTAATACATTCAGGTATTATTGTTAATTTGAAATAAAATACTTTCACGAAAAAGCATATAAATAGTAACAAAATTTTATATGATTTATAGTGTTGGAGAAAAATATACTTAATACTTATTTAAAATGAAATACGTGCCTATTTAGGAATAACAAAAAATATGCTTTTTATCGCAATATAATGTCTTATAATAATTAATTTCTTTAATTGTAGGATTTCTACAAGTTTCAGAACAAATCACATAACATAACAGCACCGTGACAATATTTGTCATTGTCATTGTCATGTCACTGATTGTCATTATTAGTTTCCAATTTGAAGGAGTGTTTCCCATAAATTAAAAATATTTCTAATTAGAAGGAATTTAAGTAAACAATAGTCTCATCAACTTTTTAGCTACTAAAAGTAAGTGTTCTTACCATGTTAAAGTTTTTAAAAGTCTAACCCACCAGGTTACGTGTAATTAGGTTCATCAATCAATTGAGGTACCAACCAATTTGTAAATTAAAGCAATGTTGTCAATAAATTCATAACTTTGGATTAATTTCAGGTGGGAAAAGATTGATAAGATGTCCTATAACGTAAGTATCAACATTCAAACCACGTTACATTGAAACTTCTTACTTGTAAACATAATAACTTCATGCATGATGAATTGATGATACACTAAACTGTAACTTTAAAAAATCTCGCTATATTTTATAAACGTTTATTTCCTTCCAACTGACACAGTTAATTACTTCATTCTTAAAATATCTATATTAATTAAACTTACAAAGATAAGTCTATTAACTCAATAAGAATTAAAAGTTAGGTTTTCACACAAATGAATTTTGTATGTATTAATGTGAAATAATAACTAATGTTCAAGATATAATCAAAAATACTGTCTAGCTATTCATGCTACAATGCTACTCCCAATTTGGAATGCTATAAGTACATATATTTGGTTCATTAACTTAGAGGTATTATTTCTCAGTCTAACAATTATTTGTGTACAAGTCTTTCAATATTTTAATAACAAACCACTTATCATAATTTGCCCATTTTGATTTTTAATTGCCGATTTTCTGATTATGCCACATGCCATGCCATCCCATGGTGAAATTTTTCTCTGAAAAATGATGTTTTTCAAGATAAGTAAATATTATGGAGAAAACATCAATATAATAATTCATTTCAAAATATTATTTTTGTAAATAATTTTTATTCAATTACATTTAACAATGTATTTCTATTTTACTCTGGGATCATGATGGAAAAAAATCAATAAAAATATCTTAAGACTACTTTGGTTGTCCTTTCTCTTTATAAATTATTGTAACAATGACGGAGAATGATTTCTGTGGTGTCTTTCAAATAATCGTAATATAGATGCCCAAAATTTGTATTTTCTGTTCGGTTGGTGCATAAAATTGCATAATCTGTTATGACAAAGAATATTACCATCTTCTTTACTGGGTTCTAGTATTTCACTTTTTAACAAAAATTAAGGAAACAAGAACTTTCTAAAATACTTTACATGTAGCGCCATCTGTGCATCAGTGTGGGTACTAATATGCGTTAGTTTCTATTCTATCTAATGAGTGTTGAGTATTAATGCTTGTTGTTATTATTTAAATCTTTCAAATTCAAACCAAATGTTTTCGGAAAATATTTATTCTCGCATATCTTGCGAATCTACATGACCTAACGAAAAAAAATTCGTTTGGACGATACAACTGACTTCTTATGTTCTTGGGTTACCGTTTCAAGTTTTAATACTAAAAATGGACAAAGGTAAAATGTAAAGTCATAGTCATTAAACGTCTATTATTTATTTGTTTTTAACAAAATGAAAAGATTTTAATTTCAAGTATAAATAAAACTTGAAATCGCAAAACCGGTGAGAATCACAATAATCGTTATTGTGACGCGGGGTATGGACATCACTATAAACAATGAAGAAATAAAATGGCCGTCGAGTGGGTCGCCGTAAATATGTCGCGTTATTTTTCTAAATGTTCGTTTATATCACAATTACAATGCGAATACTGTCTGAAATGAATATTGAAAAAGTGTATTATTCTATAAACTTTATGTGTGTGTCATTTGTGTAAAGAATTATGTAAGAACGAGGAGTTTTCGTCGTTTGTTGTATCAATCGGGCAGCTAGAACAAATGCATGAAAATGGGACTCTCGCATTTGTTGTTGTTTATAGCGATAATCCGTTTGATAAGTGTTTCTACAAAAGCAGAAAATGTTGAGTGCCCACATAAATGCGATTGCCTGGAGCAGTACGTTGATTGTTCGAAAAAGAATTTCGTAGCTGTGCCAAAAATTCCTAAGTGGGTGGAACGATTGGATCTCAGTTATAATAGATTGAATGAAAATGTAACGGAAGCTTTCGACAAACTATTGAATTTACAAGAATTAAAGCTGGACAAGAACTCTTTTCAGTTCATACCAAATTTAGTACACCATGAAAAATTACAAGAACTCAGTTTGAATAGGAATAACATTGGATCAATAGACACAGGTACATTTCCAGCTAATAGTTCCATCAGAATATTAAATGTCAATAGCAACCACATTCAATTCATTCAGGAAGGAGCTTTAACAAATTTGACCAATTTAGAAGTCTTGAAACTAAACAGGAATGAGATAAAATCACTTCCTAATCACTTGTTTAGGCATCAGACAAATCTGAGAACTCTAGAATTGAATCACAACAAGTTACATGTGATAAGTCCACTGTTATTTCAAGGGTTGTCTAATCTGACTACACTCAAACTCAGGTTTAACAATATTGACAATATAATGGATGGTGCCTTTTTTGGATTCAAATCTATGAATTTGTTACAATTGGACCATAATAGAATAAGAAATATTTCTAAGGGATGGATGTATGGATTAGAGTCATTGATTACATTATCCTTGTCTAATAATTTGATATCAGAAATCGACTCTGGAAGCTGGGAACTATGTACAAATCTGGAAGTTTTAGACCTTTCTCATAACTATTTATTAGAAGTGGAAGGGAAATCATTTCAACACTTGATCAATCTACGTACACTCAACCTTGGTTACAACAAAATTTCCTCAATTTCTCAAGATGCTTTTGGCTACATGACCCAGTTACAAACCCTGCAATTAAATAACAATAAGATATCATGGACAGTAGAAGATATGTCTGGACCATTTTCAAAGCTGCAGAATTTGAATTCCTTTAGTTTAGCTGCCAACCATATAAAATCTATTAACTCAAGAGCTTTTGATGGGTTGTCCAATCTAGTTGAATTAGACTTGAAAGGAAATAATATAACTTCTATCCAACAGCATGCTTTTGATTCCATGTCAAAACTAAGGAAATTACATTTGAATTCTTCATCATTACTCTGTGATTGCAATTTACTATGGATAGTAAAATGGATAAAAGATAAGGCTGAACAGAAGTATGTCACAGCAAACTGTGCATACCCATCTGATGTTCGAGGAGTGTCAGTTACTAAACTTAAGGAAGATAACTGTGGGGATTCACCAAAGCCAAAAGTTGTGGAACATCCCAAAACTCATCTTGCCATAAAGGGACGGTCAGCTAACTTAGTGTGCTCTGCAACATCCATTCCATTCAATAATATGACGTTTTTGTGGAGAAAAAATAATGGAAATGTTAGCAACCCTGTGGTGTATGAAAATATTACAATTGGAACTAATGGTCAACCCAGAGCAACATCTATGTTGGTAATTCCCAATGTGACACATGCTGATTCTGGAAAATATCAATGTGTTGTTAGTAATAACTTTGGAACAACATATTCCACCAAGGCTAAGGTTAATATTGTCACTTTTCCACGGTTTACAAAAACTCCCACTAATGTAACTGTAAAGACTGGTGAGACTGTGACACTTAATTGTGCAGCCACAGGAGACCCACCACCAGAAATATCTTGGAAGAAAGATGGAGGAAATGATTTTCCAGCTGCAAGAGAAAGAAGAATGAATGTTATGCCAACTGATCACTTATTCTTCATAGTAAATGCAAAAACTACAGACATGGGAATATACAGTTGTGCAGCTAAGAATCCAGCTGGAACTCTTATTGCAAATGCTACACTTACAGTGTTGCAAGAACCATCATTTGTTAGAGTTATGGAAAACAAAGAAGTGACAAGTGGTGATTCTGTAGTTTTACAATGTATGATATCAGGATCTCCAAAGCCTGTGATTAAATGGCTTAAAGATGGATCCCCAATTGTTGCTACTGAGCGGCACTTCCTGACTGCAGATGATCAGCTTCTGATTATTATTGGATCAGAATCTAGTGATGCAGGTCGATACGAGTGTGAGATTACTAATGAGTTAGGTACTAAGAAAGATATGACTGAGTTACGAGTGTTACCTCCAGTAGCCATAATGGTGAATGAGGAAAATATGGCCGGTATTATAATTATTACAGTGGTGTGTTGTGCTGTAGGAACTTCTATAATTTGGGTGGTAATAATTTACCACACTCGTAGACGCATGGCTAGTGCTGTGCATACTTTTCCCGCCGAAAGTATAAAAATGACACATGTAGTGCATAGTGACAGTGATTCACCTCAAATGTTTTCAGACAATATATCTGAGCACTCTTCGTGTAAAGATAGTGGGACTGGTGACTCTGCCAAACAAACAAGCTTTGATGGTGTGCCTACTGATAGAAGTGAACAAGTGCATTTTGAGACTGTACGTCAGAGCTATTCTCCAGTGCCTGAGGCACACAAGCTACTTCCGTCTTCTTTTAAACCCTCAATTCAAGTGTGTGTAAATACATCTGTTACACCAGCTACATATAGCTTTTCTAGTCACAGTGGTAATGTTTAAGTTTATGATGTACATATATTTCTATAGTTTATTTTAAGTAATAGGTTCAATCATACCTATATTTCCTGCAGTTTCACTAATTACATTCATTCTTTTTGTTGTACTGGGTGAGTCAACACAGCAAATTTATTTTTATTTATTCCCAGGACATAATTATTATAGCTATATTATGTAAATGTAGACACAAAATTGATTATTATAGAATTCAGGTCATATTTATGTAAATAGCTAAATCTTATTAGAAAGTGTTAAGAAGCCAGTCTCCACTATAATGAAACAGAGAGAAACCAATTGGTTTGTATTTCAATAATCTACTAATAACATAATTGTCAAAGTAGACATGGTCTAAAACTACTAAATTTCATAAAATATATTGTATATTAGAATGTTGTAAAGCTAATATCAAAGTGCTACTCTCATTAATAATTGATGACAATTGAAACAATTTTCAATACATAGTTTTTATTTAATTGACTATCATTAAATCTATAGGAATTCAAACATTAGATAATAGTAATTTCTAGGAGTTTGATTATTATTTTTCTAGAGATTTGTATTATTTAGTCAACCAACCAATACTTATGATTGAGCTACCTATGTATGTATGGCATATTTTTACATTACTGCACACTAGGAAATTCTTTCTACAGTCTACTTATGTCAGTGTGTATGTTTGTGGAAAATAATATTGATTGTTGCTATGGTCCCAGTTGTACAATAACTTAAAACATTCATCAATACATAAGTGTAGTTAGTGAAATGGCAATAAAGTTAGGCATCTATGTAACTTGATTGCTTAGTACAAAATGTAACAAACTTGCCAGTATTGGTTTTGATGTAAAAGACTGAATGTCGTTTAAGTAATAAGTATATGATTACTGTTATTTTGTAATATTAAATAGGCAATAAATATTTTTAAATTTGTTATTTCATAACAATTTTCTAGATGCTATGTCATGTGATTTACCTAGCAGCTTTTTAAATTTTAATATTAGGTGAAACTTGGTATGGACTTTATCTTAAGTATAAAATATAATGAGACGTTGTAGTGTAATTATTCAATTGCATTTCGAAAAAAATACTTAAAGTGCACTTAAAATTAAACCAGGTTTTTCTTATGACCAGTTCAGAGCATATAATTTTGTAATAAAATGATTTCGTGCCTGCAACAATAATTATTATGCAGTGGTTTTGTGAGCTTATGCATACCATAGTAATCCACCTATACTGTTTTTTACCTAGAAAGTAATTTGTTGATAATAAAAAAATAATAACAATAGAAATCATTAGTAATGTTATGTATAATGCAGGTAATTTAATTAGATATTAAAATGTGTAAGTTAATATTGTGTAGATTAATACAAAGGGGAGTGTGAGATTATTGGATATTTATGAAAATGGGTGTGAAACTTCTGAAAGTAAGAAATGCAGATTAACTTGATACTTATGCAACAAAAATCCATATAAAATTAATTACTAATGAAACCTTTGGACTAAGTATTAACAAATTAACAAGATTAAAAATTGGTTGACATTGACAATGCTCATAGTGTAAAGACAAAGACATATACAGAGTGTAAGAACATACATTACATGTTCTTGGTACAGGAAGTGCAGCAATTGTGTGACCCTGGTATTGAGTAACAGAAATTCTGCTTGATTGATTTATTATTAAACAAAAACGCCATATTTAATTTGTTATTTAAATTTATCTTAACACGTTAAACGCCGCGTAGGTCACCGATGACCTACGTACGTTAGCGTAGGATTTGTCTTCAACAGTTTTCTGTCGACAGTTAAAGACTTAAATGAAGGAGTGTAATTGTCAATAAGTACCTACCTGCCTAGAAAAAAGCATGTCGATCTTAAACCTTAAAATAACGAGTTTATTAGTTTATTTTTATATAAATTCAGTTCCTCAAAACAATTTTAAATTGTTACAAATAACTTAAAATACATTGCTGCATTTCTTAATTTTGATAATAATTGTAAAAAATAACGTAAATTAAATAGTAATAATGCAGTTTTTTATTGTTTATACTGTGTAAATACGGTAACTATTTATATACTTTACAGAATAAAATAATCTAAGAATAAGAATGTTTCATTTATTGCAATCTTAAAATACATATAATCTTCACTCTACGGTTGGCACAGTGGCTGGACGACCAGCTGCTGCACAACGTGCGATAGGTTCGATTCCGGACGGTACAATTCTTTATGTGGATCATTGACTTCACAAATAAGTTCGTAGAGTTCGTTATATCCTAAAATTCACACCTGTAAATAGTGGCATCGAATGGTAAACTAAACTACACTTAACTCAAGATACCTTATCTTAAAGACAATAGACCATAAAAATATTAATTAAGACAAGGTTGTGCCAGTTACAGTATAATAGAGTACGAAATCTGCGTGTTGTACCTAAGTTGTTTTTAACAATATGTAGGACTAGCTATTTGCAGGCTGTGAAATATATACCCTTAAGGGTAGTGTTACTATTATCCTAGTAAGAACCAAAGTAAAAGACAGGTAACATTGTTGATCCAGCAAGAAAATTCACAATTATGTTTTAGAGATTCAACACCATAATGATTTTATGTAAAACTAGCTTTTACCCGCGGCTTCGCTCGCGTCACAAAAGGATAAAAAGTAGCCTATGTGACATATACCAATACACACAGCGCCATCTATACCAATACCCAATACTTTTGTTTTCTCTCGGGAATAAAAAAAATCCGGGATAAAAAGTACCCTATTATTTAATCCAGACTTCTAAGTTTACGTCTGCAAAAATTCAAAGCAATCGGTTTAGTAGTTACGGCGTGAAAGCGGAACAAACAAACAAATTCACTTTCCAATTTATAATATTAGTAAGGACTAATAATAATTCTGTATTCTTATTTTCCTCAGCCTGGTTACGGCGGTCCACCACCCCAGCAAGGATATGGTCAACCACCAGGTTACGGTGGCCCCCCACCAGGCCAGCTTGAAATGGGTCATGGGCCGTATCCCTCGATAGGCCCTGGTGGTGGAGTCAATCCTCAAGTACAACAATGGTTCCGTGCAGTCGACAAAGACCAATCTGGCTTTATTACTGCTAATGAGCTCAGGGCAGCACTAATAAATGCTCAGGGTCAATCGTTCTCTGAAACTGCCTGTAATTTGATGATCGGTGAGTTTTATTGTTACCTACCTTTGTTAAAGGGAGGAAAATCATCGAATGACTTCTCCCGCTTGGGTGAGGCCCGGTAACCTTTTACGTTCTCCGCGGCATTGTTACCTACCTACTGTAATAGTCACCCGACGAGCCACAGTATGGCTCTAATAAATAGGTGTAAACACCAATTTGAATGACGGGAACAGGACACAGTTACTGTGTTCGTTGATCCCTCACTTAGTAGGTACCTTGTCAATGAAAATCAATGAAATTATATACTTCCCATATACGACTGGCTGATTTGTTTGTGATAGGAGTAGGACGATACTTCTGAACGATACTTCTGACGAAAAGCATACAAAATGAGGGCAGAGGACACTTTATAACCACCTCAATCCTCAAATAACTTAAAATGAGGACTGGCAAGGGTTTTAATAACCATAAAATACTTTCTGAATCTAGTAAATCGCATACATTAACTAAGTAGGTACACTACCTAAATATTATTCGTTTATATTTCCAGGGATGTTTGATAAAGACCGCTCGGGGCACATAAATGTGGAAGAATTTGAGAAACTGTACACCTATGTTAACCAGTGGCTGGCTGTGTTCAAGACTTATGATACGGATCAATCTGGAAACATCGAAGAGAATGAACTGGCCGATGGTACGTGTGTCTTTATTTTGTACCTACTTAGAAATATTGACATAGTATGGTGCATATCTACCTATGTAATAGAGACATTACAGTACACTATTGATATCAGTCTGGCCTGGTCTACTTACTGCTGAGCACTGAGCTGGCATTTTTGTTTTCGTACTAAGAAGGAATGAACATGACTATTGATCACCACGCTTGCTTATTGGCGGGTTGGCGATTTTAATTGACTTACATAATTTAAGTACCTAGTTACTAAATATTTCATGTTTCTCTTTGTATGTTTTAGCATTGACAAAAATGGGATTCCGGTTTACACCAGATTTCGTGAACTTTTTGATGAAAAGATGCACTAGCGGGAAAGTTTCCGTAGACAGCTTCATTGTGTTGTGTGTGCAGATACAACGTTTTACTGAAGCTTTTAGAACACGCGACACACAACAAAACGGAACCGTTACTATCGGATTTGAAGATTTCCTGACTGTTGCGCTAAGTTGCTCCATTTGAGATAAATAGTAAAAATTATTGGAGTTGACGCCAACGATATACACTATTCTACATGAAGTAAAACAGTGTTTATAATTTATTAAGCTTCATACATAATTACTATCTTGTTTGATTGTTTCTCTATTTTATGACACTATCTTAATTAAGCAATAAACAAATGTGACCATTATTAAGATGTTAATAAGTCTTAAAATGTAACGAAATAGATCTTGCCCATTGTTATTGAATTTAGTATTGAATATTTTAAATATCACTGCACAATACTAAGAGCATTATGGAACAAGCAATACCCACCTGTTAAATGAGATCTTTATTTTTGCTAATTATTTATTTACACGATCAACATGTGCGTTGATTCCATAGTATTATTGACAATCTAGCTATTGCTTGGTATGGGGAAATAAATAGATATTTTATAATTTTCTTTTTGTTTTATTTTACTTAAAATATGCAAAAGTTGATGTTTTAATGCTAATGTTTTTTTGGGTTAGAAAACTTCATATATTTGTTTGCAGACTATGTGTGGAGATATGACAGTTTCGTGCAGATAACTAGCTTGATATTTCAGGCTGAATAAGAAGGACAATCCTCAAAATTCCAGAGACATATCTGAAAGAGAATAATATAAATTAAGTAGGTACAAGATTATAGCCATTACAATTTACTTGTTCCAGATCTTCATAAAAATTCACTTACTAGCATCAGCCTTTCTTCTGATTGCTTCAGATTTCTCTAACGAAAATACCACTTCCTGAAAGTTTTTCACAGCTGCTCTCATATTAGTTTCATGTTGAGCATGGTCTGGGGAGCTATCATCCAACAAACTGTAGATTGAAGGAATTTCATCCAGTTTCATATTCTTTGCATTACTTGGTTTGAATACAACAGATACCTTGCCAGTTTTTGGGTGAATACTGAATGGTGATTTAAGTAAATGATTGAAACCTTTGGTGACATTTACGTCTAATCTAGGATAGCTGTACTGAATCTTGATTTCTTCTACCAAGTACCTTAGTTTTCTGACATTTCCTGACTGTAAAGAAGAAAATGTAAATAAGTGCCTGACTGCCTCGTTAGCATAGTGGTCGCAAGTGCGACTCGGCAAGGGGACTCGGGTTCGATTCCCGGGTTGGGCAAAGTTTTACTGGGTTTTAAAAAAAATCTCAGTAGTAGCACGGAGTCTGGAATTGTACCCGGTATATGGCAATAGGCTCACCTCCTATAACATGGGACTCTTAACATAAATAGTGTAAAGTGGGTGTTACATTGTACAGTGGTATAATGTGCACCTCTGCCTACCCCTTCAGGGATAAAAGGCTTGATATTATGTAAATAAGTATTTATTTGAGACAATGTACTGCCTCCTGCATTACAAAAGAATTTCACTTACTTCTCTGCAATAACTCTCATACACACTTATGAAAGAATTCCATCTATCTAAAGATGCTTCAGGCATGCTTTCTAAGCTTTTTTTAACTAGAGACCTCAATGTATCATCAGGAATCATTTTTAACAACTTTTCCAGACGGTCTGAAGTGCTAAGAAACTCTTGCTCTTGGAGTAACTGCTCAAAATATTTATCAATGATTGCGAGTGCTCTCCTGAAATCAGATAGTGAGTGGAAATTAGTTTCACATAATTTTATTTATTATTTATAGTTATGCCTGAGAACTTACTGAACAATATGTTTATTTTTCTATGTATGTTTTTATGGTGTACAATAAAGTGTGTAAATAAATAAATAGGACAGGAGAAAAACGACAAGGTTCTCATTACAGTTGAATTTACAAATAATCAGCATAATGGTTAAAATGTAGTGAACTGTCTTTTGTATGACATTATACATATTATAAGGAATTTTTTCACTTCCGTTCTCAATACATAAGAGTGAATCAGAACCTTACCTAATACTTGAATGTAGATTATCACTGCCAAGATGAACCTTCTTGTTTTGGTTATCACCTCCCATTATCAGGCACATGTAGTCAGCCACTGCTCCCCTGCCAGGACTGTCCAATGTCCTAGCTTCATAGTCCGACACCCAGCAATGAATACCTCTTCTACCAGAAAACACCCACAAAATGCTTTGGAAACCAAAATCCTCTAAAAATGTTCAAAATGAAATTAATAAAGACATATTTTATTTCACATTTCACGTATACCATGTTTTACCAATTAGATACTAAAAATTACATTGAGGCAATTGGAATATTGGATCACCTCCTTTGTGTAGAGGTATAAATATTTTAATTTCATTCATGAATTTCCATAGTTTGACTTCCTGCAGGGAAGACCCTGCAGGTTTGCCTTAAATAAGTTATTATTTACTAATTACCTCTTAGTGTCCGATCAATAATTTCACAAGCTATTATCATGAATTTCCAGCATTTCTCACACACTTTTGCTTCCTGGCAGCATGTTCGGATTTCATCGTAATCTGTAAGATCTATATCAAACACCAGCTCTCTAGACAACACAACTGCGTCGTGACGTCCTATTGAGGGCCTGTAAATTACAACAACGAGTTAAAATTGCATACATAGTTAGAACCTAATACTCATTTTGTTAAACAAATTTTCTTACTTTGTGTTGTAAACGGCTCCAATATCCAACTTATGTGGACATTTTTTCTGGAGAAGGGTTTGCAATTCCTTTTGATTACAAATAGTCAAATATCGCAAATAGACATCATCGGCTAATGTAAACGACAATTCTCGGTTTGAAAGTGGCTGTGGATGACTCCCACAAGTGAGCCACCTACAAAATATATTTTGGGGGAAAAGCCGAGTGTAATATATAGGCAACATTTCAGGTAACATATTCTCGTCATAGTGCCCGACCTGTACAAATAATATAATTAAAATTAAAAACAACATATGAATATGACCTTCCCAAAGTCCAGTTCGATTATATTGTAAGATTTTTACCATGATTCATAAATAGCACTAATTTTTAACTAAACCACTCAGTGCTAAGTCGTTAAAATTTGATGTTTATGAAGGAATTATCTAGGACACTAAATTCAAATTAAAAAAGCATGAAAAATAACACACAACAACAAGTAAGAAGTAGGTAACAAACACTTGTATGTGTATGACATGACAATTCAATTAGGTTTAATAAACTGTCAAATATTGGCGCGAAATTGGTATAGAGTAAAATTTTATTTCTATTCCACTATTGAGGATTGAGGCATAGATCGTAGTCATTCAACCAAAAAAAAGTTGCCAGTTAAATCTGCACTAGTCCCACAACATTATTGTCCGAGCATTATTTCTGCCAAGATTAATAATTTCTAAAGTATTATATTTTGATAAGTTGTTTTTATTGTTTACTAAATAAAATAAAAAAGTAATTCACCTGAACGTATTCACAGATATTTAATTTCAAAACAACAAGAAAAAATCAATGAGAAGTAAAGTGATGGTAAATATTATAATACATGTAAACAGTTACCCTCCGATTTTAATAATCTAAATTATTTTGATGTAACTTAAAAATGGAGATTAATATAAATAACGCATTTAGAGAAACAATAAAACTAACATGTGGTAAGTAAAACCCCATGCCTACTAAAACATTTCAATTTTAAATCATTTCTCATAATTATACTAATACGAGGTTTTTGTTCATTGTTTTCATTCATTATTATTATAAATCTAATCATATAAGCCTCTTTACCACATTTTTTTTATCTTGTTTCAGGACCGTGTGTAGAAAAATATCATGTTCTCACTGAAATCAATCAAAAAATATGGTTACAAATAATACAATATTTACTGAAGAAGCCTGTGTTATCGACAGTATTATTTTCAATATTTTTAATTTTATTCAGTATTACATTGTCCGCTGTATTTATAATCCTCTTAGGAGTATTTATTCTTGCTACGGTCATCTTACTCTTTGAAGGTAAGCAGACTACACGGAGTCTAGTGTGTAATGAGTATTTAATAATTACAAATTTTGAACGCTAATAAGTTCTTATTTATTTTTTAAATTTCTTATTATTTTGTTTCAGGTTTCGTATTTATTGTACTTGTAACAGGAATTAGTATGGTTTTAGCGTCGATTTCACTTGTTATAATGATAATAGCCGGGGTAAAGTACAACGAATCAATAATAAATCATTTAGATTAGGATTGTTATCTAAGTGGGCGTCATGATAATTTTTCAGATTAATGTTTCTTTTAAATATACTCATTCTGATATGATATGTTTATAATAGTACTTACCCATTGTGAATAAAAAACAGGAATAATTACATAATATATCAGACATGAATATGATCAGACATAAAATACCTACTTATACATATACAAGTAAATGTTTCAATTCACAATAATTGTGATCAAATAAGTAATGAAGTTTTAATGAATTTATTAAGATTATAAATTGATTTGACTATTAAAAACTTGCGATGATTCTACCCTGAATTCGAGATGATAACTTTGTTAGGTGATAACCGTGTTTTTTACATACACATATAATGTGGAATAAAATATATTAAGACTTCTATAGTTTCAATAAGGTTACTTGCAGGTATAATAGGTAGATGTTATCTTCTATTTTGACATAGAGTAGGAACTTGGAAGTTTCAATCTTTAACGAACTTATCCAATTCTTGAAAATTTGTAGTTATTAGTATAAAAAACGCTTTAGAGAAGATTTATTAATATAATTTGTTGGACAAAATAAATATAATTATTTAAAGTATTTCATTTTATATTTAAAGGATTTCATCCTAAATCATTGATCGAACTCCTGACCTCTCCCACTTTTAGTTGCATAATATTTGGCTGAATTCCAAAACTGAAGGCATTACTAGTTCAACGTACCAATGCAACTTAGTTTTTGTTCAATGTACAGATTTGAACACACTACATTCTACACGATTCACGCCCGCAACGTAGTCATTTAATTTTCATACAAGTCAAGTCTGAAGAATTATAAATTGCCGCAAAAAGTCAATTTTATGTCAATTGGGTAATTTATTTTAAAAGTCTTGCAACACTGACCGCTGTCTCATTTGTGAATGTGATGAATGAATCTGTGAATAAAAAAAACGGAACGAACCGAATGATAGTGCTCGATCGAGTAACGCGGGGACAGAAAATAAATTTTGTTGTAAATTAAACCAGTGTTTATTATTTAAACAGTGGTAACTAGTGCAATAATCAAGGAATCGTGGAAGGTGTATTTTATTATGCGTGAGAAAACTTTGAACCCAATACGTGAACGTGTGTACAAAAGAACTGTTACGATACCGATGGATGGAGTCTTTGGGGTTTTTGGCAGCAAGGTCACAGCTGCAGCAATGATGTAAATTATGACAGTAAGTTTTTACTGGTTTTTGTTAAGAGCATCCGTAGAAGAGCATTCGCGGATTAAAATTACGTCACCTTCATACACTGGTTTCTAAATCTAGTACATGTTACTGAGACCTGTGTATTTGTACTTGAAGTTAGCAAACTTGGCTAGGTAAAGACACCCACACAATTTGAATTTTAATAAATGTTCGATGTCACATATTAAATTATTAAACACTTATGCTGGGAAGGTAATGACTGAATATTGTTACTCATTATTCCAGCTAGCACTTGTGTTGAATGACGAATGAACAGGTCACACGTTAATAATAATTGGACCGTTTATCTATGTTTAATGTCAAGGGAAAAGATATAGTAACTGTCTTGTTATCACTAAAGTTAGGTCACCCAAATTTCATTTAATAATTATTGTATTAAATGCAGTACTTTAGATATAACAATCATGTCATGTACATCATTCTTCCACACCTGTCTACATAAATCAGATTTTTGTACAAAACCAGCAATTTAGTCATCATTCAGGAATTGTAATTTGCTTGTCTAGTTCTCAAGAATGCATGCAATTAGCTTATTTCAACCTTAGAACAAAAGAATAAAGTTGAAAATGAGTTTTAGCTCTGTCTCTATGTAATAGTTTCTTGTTCATTGCTCAATGCTCATGAAATAAACAAAGGATTGAAATAACCATGTTATAAAATATATAGGAAAGAGCTTAACTGGTTTTGGTATAAGCCTGTAATATTGTTGCTAAGTAATGATAAATATGTATCTTTAAAAACAGAAAGAGATAAAAATATAAAAAATTATGTTAGACCTGCCCAGGAGTTGTATTTATTTACATTGCTGTCATTGTTTATTACTACAGATAAATATCTTTGTAGAGAATTAAGGAAAACGTCAAATCCAAGCATGCTTTATGACCACTACACTAAAGAGGTGGTTCTCTACCTTACTGACATTGTTATTTCTGGCTCTCATTGTAACAATGGTGTTGATTAATATTACAAAACCACTACACCTTTGTATATGATAAATTTTCAAGCTGTAAATAAATGTTACCAAACATTCTTTTACATGACCTTAGCACATCTCCTACATGAAAATGTTTTTATTTTTCAGAAATTTAAATCAACACACTCCGATTACGGTCATCATAATTGATTCTGTGAGTACAATTTCTTTCTTTGACTATAGTAATAGTTCTATAAGAAGAATTTCTCTGCTCAATTTGTATGAATTGTTTTAATATTTTATACCAAAACATTTTATATTAACGTTTATATATCTCTCGAGAAACAAGAGAAAGAATGAATCCATTTAATAGTTAACATAACATGACATCACACATCATTTTATTCCTAAAGGGGAAGGGCAAATGTGCACATTAGGGCAGTTAATGCCACTGTCCAATGTAACACCCACTTTTTACTATTTATGTTATTATGAGTCCCATGTAATAGGGGGTGAACCTATTGCCATATACTGGGCACAATTCCGGACTTTGTGTTACTACTGAGTTTTTTTTAAACCCAGCAATACTTTACCCAACTCGGGAATTAAACTCAAGATCCATTGCCTGGCAGTCGCTTGTCAACCACTCGGCCAACGAGGCAGGCAGTTTTATAGTTAATAAAATAAGATTTTAAGATGGTGTCTAATAAGAAACCATAATACCTACTTCAAAGCATCATTAATCTTTAGAACCAATTAATATTTTCACAAGAACATTAAAAAGCTATGAAAATACTGGTAGCACAGTTATGAAAGTGGCAATATATTTTACCTTTATTAATTAACACTTTCTCACTATATAAAAAATATGAAGACAGTGTTTGCAGATGTTATTATTAGCACTTGCATGCGCTAACATCCTGGCCATGTCCTAGATAGCATGCAAATATTACAAATTGTACTATTTATCTGTTGCTTATCTCTATGTATCTTGAAACTCATTGAAATAAAGGACTTCTGAAATCTCTTACTATAATCAATACTTCTTTATAAGTTGAATGGGGAGTGGCTTACACTATAGTGCTATTGTCAGGCTTCGAATTGTCATATTTTCTTTAATTTTGATAATTGAGCTAGGTGAAATGTCCTTTTTGCCTGACTAGGAAGGATATTGTTTAAGCCTGATTGTATTAACAGTTTTGTATTTAATTTGTGATTAAAAGGTCTGTTTGTGTTTATTGTAACAGTTGTATCTATTTGTAGGGCACTTCGTCAAGCTGGCGGCCCTTCAGGATGTGGCTCGCGCGCCCTCGCTAGCACCGCGCGACGTACGCCACGTAGCCACAATCACAGGTAATCTCATCATCATTCTACTAATAATATAAATGCGGAAGTTTGTATGTTTATCTGTTACTCCTGCACGTCAAAGTAGTTGAAGAGATCGAGATAAAATTCGGAAAAGGGGTAGGATTTTTTTTAAGTAGGGAAAATCATCGTATGTCTTCTCCCGCCTAGGTGAGGCGGGAGGGAGTGTCAGAATCCCACTGACTAAAAACCACCCCG